ACAGTTCAATACAAGAGGGTTAGGAGGGCCCTGATCCTGGGAGCTTACAATCTAAGAGCAAATTACATTTTATTGCCTGCTTTCTGTAAAAAAAAAAAAAAAAACAGACCCCTCCAAAGGTCCACCAAAATACTTATGTTTCATGTATATTTTTGGGGTCCTTTGGAGAGGTGCGTGTCATTTAAATAAGAAAAAAAGCCAATAGGGAAATGTCATTTTTAGGCAATTAAAAACTTTTTTTTTTCCTTTGGAAATGTTAACGCCCCTATATACAGGCAGGATTAGGACACCACCAGTCATTCTAATTGAAGGAATTAGGCATTTTTAATGTTTCTCTTTAGGCATTTAAAAAAAGAAATCACTGCTCTGGCTGATATATGTTGCCCAGGGCAGGGCCCAGCCGCTGTCCTGCCCCCCCCCCCCCCCGCTACTTTTTTTGACAACCCCTTATTTATTAGCCCAGAAAATGGGCATTTCTGATTTTTACAGATTCAGCTGCCATTGATCTCAATGGGGTTTTGGTTCAAGATCCGAGCTTCTTTGAAGTTCACTGAACACTGCTCAGAATAGACTCGGGGCAGTTCAGCTTATCTCCAGCTGTGGTTGGGAAAGAATAGGAAGATCTGAGGTGAAGTGCCTAGGGGCATGTTAGTGCAGGATTTGTGGTAGTCCCTGTAGATGTAAACCCTTAATGAACAGCTTTTAGGCAGCAAAATTCAGTGTATCTTGGGGAATTTGGGGGTGGGGGAGATGAGACTTTTTGTATGTTAATGTCACTGACATATGTCCTGCAGCATCCTCACATTCTCTCTGCATGCACTTTCAGTCATAACCAGGGGCGGACTGACCATTTGGAAACTCGGGAACTGCCCAAGGGCCCGGGTCAGTAGGGGGCCCCATGAGATGCCCCTGGTATCTTTTTCATAGGCTTTTTTGAGTTTGGGCAAGGACACAGGGGCCCGATGATCCCCTATTGCCCAGGGGCCACATGAGTTGTCAGTCCGCCCCTGGTGTGAATGTATACAAGACATTTCCAGCACATAATCCTCCTGCTGTGGCTAAACCTCAAATTAGTAGTGGCAGAATTAAGTTGCTGGCCTATCTCTAAATTGATAGGTGATTTGACTCACTTCTTAGCCCCTTCTTTCCCAGCCCCAGCATCCCTTTAAATAAATTGTTACGCCCAGGGGTGGGAAGGACTTCCCAATCACGGGACCACTGTGATTGGTTGTCATAGTGGTCACATGATCGGGAGCTGGCTGTCAAAGTGACAGCCACTGTGACTGGCTGTCATAGTAGTCACATGATCATGAGCCGACCAACTAGAGGCCAAGGGCTAGCTTTGACAGCCCGGTCACTTCATTCATTGACCCATGTGTGCCACATGTGGGCATTAAACCCGTCCTCTTTGCTGTAGCATTTATTTGTTATGTGGGCAGCCATAGGTTAAACAGGTTCAAAGGGCTGAATTTTTGAAAATTACGACAATTATTTATACCTGAGGCAATTTTGTGGCAAATCTGTAGCAATTCTGCCACGCATTGGGATATGAAAAGGCTAAAATCAAGTGCTGTGCAACCCCCGAATATACAGTGCCAAAACATGTAAAAACATATAAAACAAAAAACCCAATAATTTTTTTTGTGTCACGTGAAAAAAACAAATGAATACAGCTCTTTCGACAAATAGTGTCCTTCCAAACATCACAAAGGTTATGATCCAAACTGCAACCTTTTTGTGCAAGAAATCTATGTCAGAGGTATCATGACTAAAACAAGTCTCTCTGTATGCTGTGCTCAAATCTTTATACACTGCTCTTTCTTCCAAAGTGCAAGTTCTTCTCCAAAGCTCATGCATTGTGAACTACAATACACCTCCTCCAAAGTAGAAACCATGTGCTGCATCTATGCACACTGTGCACTCACTAGATTTCAGCGACCCTCTTATGCTAATAAGTGGGTCTACAAGAGCATGAATTGTTGCTCTTTCCAGGCAGCCTTTCAGGTGACTTCCTCTCCTCCAAGCAATGGTTCCCTTTAAGCCTCCTATTGCCTTCATTTACATTGCCAGTATAAAAAAAAACAAGCAAAACAAAAATCATATTAATCTTTATTTTAGATAACTTAAAACATCGTCAAAAGTGCACATTCACATAAGTTAAGAACAGATGCCAACATTAAACATGGTAGCTAGACAAAACGTGTTGGGCGGAGCTACTCATCATGACATTATTTTCGCCTGTGTCACTTCTGGTGCATGGAACGCACGCCGAAGTCAAGAGAATGGGGCACCCCCTTTGATTCTGTTGTAAACAACCATGTTTAATTATATGCATGTTTAAGGTTTAAGAATATACAAGAAATCTTCCATGGAACATGTATTCTGGTGATAACTGTCTAAGACAGTGGTCTCAAAACTGCGGCCTGAGGGCCGGATGTGGCCCTTTGCTACATTTTATAAGGCCCTTGGGCATTATTCTGTCACTGTCAGCAACAGTGGGGCACTCTTCCTCCCACTGACACCAATGATGGCACACTATTTCTCCCATTGATACCAATGATGGGGCACTATTCCTCTCACTGACACCAATGATGGAGCACTATTCCTCTCACTAACACCAATGATGGGGCACTATTCCTCCCACTGACACCAATGATGGGGCACTCTTCCTCCCACTGACACCAATGATGGGGCACTCTTCCTCCCACTGACACCAATGATGGCACACTATTCCTCCCACTGATACCAATGATGGGGCACTTTTCCTCCCACTAATACCAATGAAGGGGCACTATTCCTCCCACTGACCAATGATGGGGCACTATTCCTCCCACTGACACCAATGATGGGGCACTATTCCTCCCACTGATACCAATGATGGGGCACTATTCCTCCCACTGATACCAATGATGGGGCACTATTCCTCCCACTGACACCAATGATGGAGCACTATTCCTCTCACTAACACCAATGATGGGGCACTATTCCTCCCACTTACACCAATGATGGGGCACTATTCCTCCCACTGATACCATTGATGGGGCACTATTCCTCCCGCTGATACCAATGATGGGGCACTATTCCTCCCACTGATACCAATGATGGGGCACTATTCCTCCCACTGACACCAATGATGGGGCACTATTCCTCCCACTGATACCAATGATGGGGCACTATTCCTCCCACTGATACCATTGATGGGGCACTATTCCTCCCGCTGATACCAATGATGGGGCACTATTCCTCCCACTGATACCAATGATGGGGCACTATTCCTCCCACTTACACCAATGATGGGGCACTATTCCTCCCACTGATACCATTGATGGGGCACTATTCCTCCCGCTGATACAAATGATGGGGCACTATTCCTCCCGCTGATACCAATGATGGGGCACTATTCCTCCCGCTGACACCAATGATAGAGCACTATACCTCCCACTGATACCAATGATGGGGCACTATTCCTCCCGCTGATACCAATGATGGGGCACTATTCCTCCCGCTGACACCAATGATGGAGCACTATACCTCCCACTGATACCAATGATGGGGCACTATTCCTCCCGCTGATACCAATGATGGGGCACTATTCCTCCCGCTGATACCAATGATGGGGCACTATTCCTCCCGCTGATACCAATGATGGGGCACTATTCCTCCCGCTGACACCAATGATGGAGCACTATACCTCCCACTGATACCAATGATGGGGCACTATTCCTCCCACTGATACCAATGATGGGGCACTATTCCTCCCACTGACACCAATGATAAGGCACTATTCCTCCCACTGATACCAATGATGGGGCACTATTCCTCCCACTGATACCAATGATGGGGCACTATTCCTCCCACTGATACCAATGATGGGGCACTATTCCTCCCGCTGACACCAATGATGGAGCACTATTCCTCCCACTGACACCAATGATAAGGCACTATTCCTCCCACTGATGCCAATGATGGGGCACTATTCCTCCCACTGATACCAATGATGGGGCACTATTCCTCCCACTGATACCAATGATGGGACACTATTCCTCCCACTGATACCAATGATGGGGCACTATTCCTCCCACTGACACCAATGATGGGGCACTATTCCTCCCACTGACACCAATGATGGGGCACTATTCCTCCCACTGATACCAATGATGGGGCACTATTCCTCCCACTGATACCAATGATGGGGCACTATTCCTCCCACTGATACCAATGATGGGACACTATTCCTCCCACTGATACCAATGATGGGGCACTATTCCTCCCACTGATACCAATGATGGGGCACTATTCCTCCCACTGATACCAATAATGGGGCACTATTCCTTCTGCTAATACCGATAGTGTGACACTATTCCTTCCACTGCCACCAGTCATGGGGCATTTTTTTGCTGCCACTGACACCAGGACTTTTTCTATACCCGCTGGCCACAGTCCGGCCCCCCTAAAGAATGAAGCACAGTAAACTGGCCCTTTGATTAGAAAGTTTGGAGACCCCTGGTCTAAGATGAGGATTTTATTCACTTTGACCCAACAGGACACAGATAGAAACAAATTGAGGGCTTCACTCTTGATGCTTGTTGATGCTTACACTTTATGGACCTCATAGTCTGCTCAGATTGTCAAGGCCTCCTCCTTTCACAAATCACTTTGTAAGTTAGTGTATAACGTAAAGAAGTTAGATTTATAATTATGTAGCGCAAGAGCATCTCCCCGCAAGACTTGGCTGCTCTGTATTTCCCAGGATCTAGCAAGAAGAAGTGTGATGTCATCATCTCCCTGGCACTGCAGGCAGAATATGAAGGAAGGTAAGTATAAATCCAAACTTTTTTCCTTACAGGCACATTTTACACCTACTAATAATTGTTGATTTTTGAATTGGGAGGGAGCCCAAGCAGAGTACTGTAGTGCCGTTTGTTTTACAGCAATGCCCTCTTGAAGTTATTCCATGTGTAAAGTTTTGATGTTATACCTTTTTATGTGTCCATTGACAGATGTATGCTCATTACTCCCAATGTTCTACGCTTGGAGAGTGAAGAGACCATAGTGTTGGATGGGCAGACCCGGACATTTGAAGCTGATGTGGAGATTCAGGACTTCCCCCAGAGAAAGTTAAGTTTGGCCAAGCAAAAAGTCTCCCTTAACAGCGACAACAAATATCTTGGCACAACAGTAGTGAAGGTTAGTACTTAGTACATGGGACCAATCCAGAAAAGGCATGGTCTTACCAAACATTGGAGTTTGAATTGATGGCATATCTTCTAATATTTTCTTGTGTAATCTCCACAGATTCCCTCTAAGGACCTACTGAAGGACCGTAATGTAAAACAATATGTTTATGTTACAGTAAGGTCTCAAGTATGTAATCTAGAGAAAGTTGTTCTGCTTGGACACCAGAGCGGATATGTCTTTCTACAGACAGACAAAACCATCTATACTCCAGGATCTACAGGTAGCCCACAGAAAGACAAACCTTTGAACTCTATACAACTTTCTATACATTTTTTATTGTCTATATACAACACATATATGGTTTTTTAGGTGTTTTTGAGTCATCCAACAGTGTAATGAAGCCAGTGTTAGAGAACCTTCCACCTAAAGCTAATTTTTCAGTTCTGACTAAGCCATGGTGGGTTGGATCACCCCTAAGATTACTTAGAGACATGGGACAGTTGGAAATGTATACACAAACAGACCATGTTGTTGGTAGGCCAATCCATAAACATGAAAGCTCAACTCCCCCACAATGGGAACAACAATGAAAATCTACGGTCTTAAGCCTTCCCTGCTCCATCAAGTACTAGAAAATAAATACATAAACAAATAACTCCACACTCGGAAGAAATGAGACTAGATTTCTAGCAAAAATGTGACTTTTGCAACTGCTACCACCTTTAACTATTAATAATCTCAACAAAACAGAGACAGTAAAATTCCCCAAATAGGTAGCACAGTAAATGCTTATAAAATAAATCAAACGCACTTAAAATTCCACCTTTTGCAAATATGTGATACTAAAAATCCTATATTAATAAAGTCCATAAAATCAGTGTCTCAAAATGTCCATCATTATTCATTAAGAGCTGATGCACACATGTGCGGTGATTGAAGTTCAGGTTTGACAGCTACTTGATACAGTAGTTGTCCAGCTGTTTATGTCAGGTTTAAATCAGGTTCAGGACAGGATTAGCTCATGATATTGTCCTGTTCAGGCTGTTTAGAAATGGTTCCCATAGAAGTCAATAGCCTGTAACCAGCACCTGAACCCGAAGGCACAGCTCAGAAATCATACATGTGTCTTTTTAAAACCGCACTGAATCTGCACTGAATTTGCACCTCCTGTGCACCGGACATATGTGAACAGACACCATAGGAAGCAATGTATTTTCGCATGTCATGCATACTGGATGTGGTTCAAGCCGCATCCAATCCGCATATACAGTATGTGAACTGGCACTAATAGTGCAAGATATGCCGGTATTCCTCCAAAATCCACACCACGTCCAAGGCTGTATTTAAACTTCCACAGGTCAACACACTCATCAAAACAAATTGCCTCTCATTATACTGATCCACAAGAAGCATTTTAGGGCATATTCTCTTTCCAAGCTCCTCAGTTCTTCTTCCCCAATCAAGCTCCCCCATCTAGGCTTCAATGGAATTCACAGATATAAAGAACTCCCATAGTGTAATATTGTATACCAACTTTTATTTAAATCGACGTTAAAATGCCACTCACAAAGGAAATTAAAAATCAGGACAATGAAACGCATATAGAAGTAACAGCATCAGAACCCCCAGTGCCAGTATAGACCGGTGGATGCGGTGTTTCACTTGGTCCACAATCGTGTCACTTCCAGATCAGCATCTGACACTACTTCCAGTTGCTGTACAGCCACACGCAGATGCATTTTGTTCTTCCAACTTCATTTTGTACAAAATAAAATGGTTCCACTTTACATCCCATTATATAGCCTAAGAGCTTTCTGTCAATGAAAAGAGGGTGTTCTGACTCAACTACAGGACCATAAACTTTATCTCCAGCAATGAATACAGCTATACCACGTGGTGTTGAATCTATCTCTTGCATCAGGTCAGACAGTTTAACTCAATGAATAAACGCACATGTTGAGGAAGTCAGATGAGGAAATCCATTAAAATGTTCCGTTTAATGGAGGATAATCATAGGTAGAAAACATTAATTTTGTAAGCCTCATGGAAAGATGCATTTAGGACAGTTTGTTAGATTGAGTAACAAACTTTTCCTAATAACTTCAGACTAGTTGTTTGCTCAGTTCTTAAAGTTTCATAATTTTCCAAGTTGGTTTAACTGAGCGTTTGGGTAGCACAGTTGGATGAGAGACTTGGTCTGCTGTGTGTGACATCTCTTCACAGACGGAGCCCTTGTAACTCATGTCGACAAAAGCAGATAATCACTGAGAGATAAACAAGCGGGAAAGTTGTGCATGGGCTTAGTTATGGAGGCTCACACATACTCCTGCCATCCTCTTGCTTTGCAATGAGAGCAATAAATCGTGTCTGTATCAGTACTGTCACCCAGGAATCTTGTAATTTAGGCTGTAACTCCGTTTCTCTACTATTCTGACTCAACTACAGGACCATAAACTTTATCTCCAGCGATGTATACAGCTATACAATGTGGTGTTGAATCTATCTCTTGCATCAGGTTAGACAGTTTAACTTAATGAATAAACTCACATGTTGAGGAAGTCAGATGAGGAATCCCATTGAAATGTTCTGTTTAATGGAGGATAATCATAGGTAGAAAACATTAACGTTGTAGGCCTCATGGAAAGATGCATTCAGGAAGACAGGATACAGTGGAATGACTACAGAGAGAGGCAGGGGGAGGGATATACACAAATACGGTGAGAGAAAGAGCTCAGCTTAGACAGGAGAAGACAGCTTAAATACACAGAGCAATAATAAACAAGTGATGGTCACAGAGAAATAATAATACATCAAGTAGTGTAACACAACAGGGGGGACGTAGCTCCCAACACTCTCAAGAATTATGTGTTTGTTCCCATCTTTCCACTATATTGTTATGGCAAAGCAGGTAATACCTTGATTAAAATATGGGACTTTTTGTTTTTTTTGCAATGACCCAAACCTATCTTCCTAGCGCATGCTAAAGAGAAGAAATGATCACACAGGAACAAAAATTTGTGTTTATTCACATGTTTCTGGAAGGGCTTACCATAAAATATTTTTTTTGCTTGAAAGGTGGATTATTTAATGGGGAACTGTGGTCCCACTGCTCTTGCCATAATGTGCAATTATGCACATCATACTTGCACATTGTGGCAGACTCCCTGGCTGTTTGCACACCTCAAGCCTTGAGAGAACAGCGTTCTCCCATTCTGTCCCTCATTGCTCGGTTTGCCATCATCTTCTCCTGGTCTTTTTCAAGTTCCAATTGCTCTATGCATGTCCTTACTAAAGCTTTGCTTATATTGTGATGAATTATTTGGTCTTTTTACATTCTCCTAAAGCTTAGTGTAAAGGTCAGTTTCTTACTAAGTATGTTTTTTTGCCTGTCTTTCCACAGTTCTCTACCGCATCTTTTTGATGAATTATAAAATGTCCCCAATAAACAAAGCTGTCATTTTGGAATTTTTGGTAAGTGTTCACTCTCCTTTGTAATCAAAAGTCCAGTACAAGGTTAAAAAAAGAAAAAAAAATCAACTAAATGTTTTTCGGGGCCAATTACCAAGTACTAGGGCTGTCACATGGGAGGAAGGGTGGGGAGTCATGTGCTCTCTATATCCAAAAATATGGGGAATTTCTCTTTATTTTCTCTCAGTTGCTGAATGGAGTGGACGAGGTGGCGAGGAAAATATACTGTGGAGGAGATTTACTAATACTGGATCACTCAGAATCTGGTGCAGCTGTGCATGGCAGCCAATCAGCTTCTAACTTCAGCTTGTTCAAATAACCTCCCTGGCGGTATTCCCGAGTGTAGCTCGGGGTAAAATTTCAGTACCAAGAGCGGTAACCCCAAGCTACACTCGGGCTTACCATGCGGCGTTGCTCAGGGAGTCCCTGCAGCGCTTACCTTGTCCTTCGCTCCCGCGATGTGTCCCCTGCAGCGTCCCCGGCCATCTCCTTCGGCCGATGCCGGCATCTGGCTTCCGTGTTCCGGTCCCTGTGACGCCTGGACATATGGGCGGCAAATTTGAAATTTTTAAAAAATGATTATTATATAGTAAAACATTGCTGTTTCAACCCATTTCACATACATTTTGTCCCTACTGCTTTGTCCTGTGCGCCCTGCCTGCATTTTGACTGTTCTTTCTGCCTGGAAACTTAGAAACGTCCATGGCGTCCAAAAAGCGTCCCTTTATGTCAAAAGCGGTTTTAGACCGGCTAGAGAACAGCGATAGTAAATTAGAACCACTTGCAGAATTAAGTGATAATGATTCGTGGGGGAAATTCGTCATCAGACACTGAAAACGATTCTGCGACTTTGCTCAGCGATGTGCGAATTTGCCTCTGTATTTCAAATTTCAGTGTTTTTGGTTTGATTATATTATTGAATTAAATTTTATTATTATTATATTATTATTTTTTTATGATTATTAATTAAATTATAATTTATGATTTTGTGTTTCAAGTTTTATCATATCCGGAATGTTTACTAGACTCTTGTTCGGACAGATTTCAGTGAGTTATTCCTAAAAATTACAGCCTACAATAAAAAACTACATATTTCCATGCAAAATAATGGTACTGCTTTCAGCACCAAAAATCGGAAATAATCATACCGCCAAGGAGGTTAAACCTTTACAATAATACCTGGAAGCTGGAAGCAGAGGGGGAAAAAAGTGACCTGCAATGAAATACATTGCTCAAAAAATATTAAAGGAACACTTTTTAATCAGAGTCTAGCATCAAGTAAATGAAACTCCTGGGATATTAATTGGTCAGTTAAGTAGCAGAGGGGGTTGTTAATCAGTTTCAGCTGCTTTGGTGTTAATAAAATTAACAACAGATGCACTAGATGGGCAACAATGAGACAAAACAAAACAAAACAGGAATGGTTTTACAGGTGGAGGTCACTGACATTTTTTCCCTACGCATCCTTCCTGTTTTTCATTAGTTTTGCATTTGGCTAGAGGTCAGTGTCACTACTGGTAGCATGAGGTGATACCTGGACCCTACAGAGGTTGCAAAGGCAGTCCAACTCCTCCAGGATGGCACATCAATACATGCCATTCCCAGAAGGTTTGCTGTGTCTCCCAGCACAGTCTCAATATCAGGGCTTTGTCCACAGCAGGTACTCAGAGACCTGGCATTCCTGCTAGTACCTTGCATGGCCGTAGAAATACACACTGGCGAACATCTATGTACATTGGTACATGGACGTGAGCCGGAACACGCATGCACACTGGTGCACAGTTTCGCACACATTAACCCAGTTTGGCACCAGACGGCCTTTATAAGGAGGACCATCACTCTCTCAAATTGCTGGTTGATCTCTGGCTCCCCAGTACCTTTGTCCCTTGTTCCCTTCCTATTGTGATCTGCTGTTACCGACTTGGCTTGTTCCTGGACCTGTCTTCTCTACCTGTCTCCTGATCTGATCTCGGCCTTGGCTAACGGATATTCTCACTTGCTCTCCTGTGTATGACCCCGGCTTAGCTAATGGCTATTCTCACCTGCTCTCCTGTGTATGACCCCAACTTAGCTAAGGGATATTCTCATCTGCTCTTCTGTGTATGACCCCGGTTTGGCTGGTGGATATTCTCATCTGCTCTCCTGTGTATGACCCTGGCTTGGCTAATGGATATTCTCACTTGCTACCCTGTGTATAACTCCTGCTATCTATCTGACTATGTCTGCTCTAATCCCCACCTGGCATCTGACCCTGGCTCTAAACCGACTACTCTGCTGACCTCTCCTACTCTGAAGGCCTGCTATTTCTCATGGGCGCCACCTGTCTGCAGACATCACTCCAGTGAATGAGCTTTGCTCCTGGGTGTACTTCTGACAAGCATTTTCAGTCAGATCATCTCTACAAGCACTCCTACAGGTGACCCGTGCTACTTTGGGCCTGACTCATTCTGTCCCATCTCCAGGGGAGTCTAGAACGTAGCCGCAAGGGAAGCCCTTTCTTCATTGGCCTTCAACACCAGGTACCTGATACTCAAGATCATGGAGGAAGTTCCAGGAGACAGACAATTACTCTAGGAGAGCTGGACAGGAACGTAGAAGGTCCTTCACCCATCAGCAGGACCGGTATCTGCTCCTTTGTGGAAGGAGGAACAGGATGAGCACTGCCAGAGTCCTACAAAATGACCTCCTGCAGGCCACTGGTGTGAATGTCTCTGACCAAACAATCAGAAACAGACTTCATGAGGGTGGCCTGAGGGCCCGACATCCTCTAGTGGGCCCTGTGCTCTCTGCCGGGGACCATAGAGCTCGATTGGCATTTGCCATTGAACACCAGAATTGGCAGGTCCACCACTGGCGCCCTGTGCTTTTCACAGATGAGAGCAGGTTCACCCTGAGCACATGTGACAGACGGGAAAGGGTCTGGAGAAGCCGTGGAGAATGTTATGCTGCCTGTAACATCGTTCAGCATGACCGTTTTGGTGGTGGGTCAGTGATGGTCTGGGGAAGCATATCCATGGAGGGACGCACAGACCTCTACAGGCTAGACAATGGCACCCCGACTGCCATTAGGTATCGGGAGGAAATTTTTGAGTTGCTGCAATGAAATTTCAGCAAAATGGACTAGCCTGCTGCATCATTTTTTCACTTTGATTTTCGGGTTGTCTTTGAAATCAGTCCTCTGTAGTCTGATCATTTTCATTTTGTCCTAACACATTCCCTGTCCATATCAGTATAGATATCAAGCAGGAGATTTTTCCTCATTGAGATCTGATATGTTTTTAAAGTGTTCCTTTATTTTTTTTTGAGCAGTGTACAAACTTTCCATCACCTGCTTTCTTTTAAAAAGGAGCAGCAAGGGGGCTTAGAAGGTTGGAGCGGACAACCTCAATATTTACAGGAAAAATAAGATTTTTATTTAATATCAAATACCCGTATCTAATTAAAAATGTGTTTTTACTGAAGGAAAATCTTTGATTAAGCATATGTAAAAGTGATATTAAACTCCACAGCAAACATTTATTTAATTGCAGCTTACCAATTCTCATATGTGATGGCTGCAGGGGCGGACTGACCATTTGGAAACTCGGGCACTGCCCGAGGGCTCGGGTCAGTAGGGGGCCCCATGAGATGCCCCTGGTACCTTTTTCATAGGCTCTTTTCAGTTTGGGCAAGGACACAGGGGCCCCATGATCCCCTATTGCCTGGGGGCCTCATGAGTTGTCAGTCCGCCCCTGGATGGCTGCATTAGTTTTCTTTGTAGAAGTTCTTTCTTCTATTTTCATCTGATGATCTGGACTGTTTTTCAATACAATAAGCTGTCCAGCAGACATTGCATTTAGAGGGTTGAGATGAATCATGTAGCCTCCCTGGAGGTATTTCCGAGTGTAGCTCGGGGTAAAGTTTCAGTACTACAAGCGGTAACCCCGAGCTACACTCGGGCTTACCATGTGGCGCTGCTCCGGGATCTGTTCTTCTCTTACCTTGTCCTGCGCTCCCGCGGTGTCCCTCCTGCAGTGTCCCCTGTAATGTCCTCCGGCCGATGCCGGCATCTGTCTTCTGGGTTCCGTCCCCTGCGACGTCGGGACATACGGGGGACGGAACTGGCGGGAAATTTGAAAATGACAAAAAGTGACATTCACTAAATACAGTAAAATCACATAGTATTCCATTACTGTATCAAACCATTTCACATACATTTTGTCCCGAGTGCTTTGTCCGGCGCCCTGCCTGCATTTTTACTGTTCTTTCTGCCTGGAAACTGAGAAACATCCATGGCGTCCAAAAAGCGTCCCTTTATGTCAAAAGCGGTTTTAGACCGTAAAAAAAACGACATATTTCAATGCAAAAAAAGTGCCACTTTCAGCACAGAAATACTGACATAATCAGACCGCTAGGGAGGTTAATTGTATTCTTAGTTCAGATTGCCCAGATTTGTACCAGGCTTCCTTTAATCCGCCACTGACAATACAATTGCTTCATTCTTTGTATATTGACCATTAACTTTTCTTCTCTTTTTCCAGACTCCTGAAAACCTTATTGTTAAGAGGGACACCGTCAAACAGGAGTCATTATCAGGCATCCTCTCCCTGTCTTTTAAACTGCCTGAACTTGTAAGGTGAGGTCAAATACTTTTTTTTGTTTTACAAATAAAGAGGTCCAATTGGATGTATTGATAATCCACATGTGCAGAAAACTCATTCAAACAGACAGACTCATCCCATGTGGGATGAATTACTCAACAACCCAAAATATATATTAAGAAGAACAAACACTGGGTAAGAAAAGCAAAATTAATATTGTAAAATGGTTTGGCTTTTAGACTTCTTTCACACTGGCGTTCCGAATTTCTGTTTTTCATCTGTCCGTTTACAGATGAAAAACGGACCTCCATGTATTTCTATGGACTAGCGGATGTAAACAGATGAACATCTGTTTACATCCGTTAATGTCTGCATCCGTTAACACCCGTTTTTTTGAATGGAAGAAAACCCTATTTTTCTTCTGCAAAAAAAACCCGGAACGGACAAAAAATGGATGTCAACAGATGTTAACAGATGTCAACAGATGTAAATGGACCAAAAATGGATGTAGACAGATGAGAAACTGATCTAAACGGATGAAAAACAGATGTAAACGGATGAAAAACGGATGTAAACCAATGTACATGGATGAAAAAAGGATGTAAGCGGATGAAAAATGGATAAAAAACGGATGAAAATGGATGAAAAAATGAAGGTAAACTCCATTTTCTTTGAAAAAAAACGTGACTGAACTGAAGAAAAAAAACGGAACGCCCCTGTGAAAGGACCCTAAGGCAACAGTTTCCTCTATGTAGACACTCCATTCTTCAACTCTAAGACCAAGTTGTTACAAAGTAGCTACACTGATCAGCGCTATCATTATGACCACTGACAGGTTAAGTGAATAACATTGATGATTTCATTACAATAGCATCATTAGAAGTGGGTGTGATATATTAGGCAGAAAATGAACATGTTGTCCTGAAGTTGATGTCATGAAAGCAGAAAAAATAGACAAGTGTAAGGATTTGAGTGACATTGAGCTTTCAGTTGTACAAATTGCAATGGCTGGATGACTAGGTCAGATCATCTCCAAAACTGCAGCTCTTGTGGGATGTTCCCGGCCTGCAGCGGTCAGGACCAACCAAGAGTGGTCCAAGGAAGCAAAACTGGTGAACTGGTGACTGGGTCATAGGCGGCCAAGGCTCATTGATGCTCATGAAGAGCGAAGGCTGGCCCATGTAGTCCAATCCAATAGAAGAACTACTGTGGCTCAGATTGCAGAAAATGTTCATTCTGGTTCTGATAGAAAGGTGTTAGAACACAAAGTGCATTGCAGTTTGTTGCCTATTGGACTGCGAAGCCTAAGACAGGCCCATGTTGACCTATGTCCACAGCCAAAAGTGCCTACAATGGGAACGTGAGCATCAAAATTGGACCATGGAGCAATGGAAAAAGGTGGTCTGGTCTGATGAAGAATGGTGTGAGGAACACAACAATGAGTTTGAGCCTCCAATTTCTCCAGATCACAATCCAATTGAGCATCTATGAGTTTTGATGGAAAAACAAGTTCAATCCATGGAGGCATCACTCTTACAGGACTTAAAGGATCTGCTACTGACAGCTTAGTGCCAGATACCACCACAGCATACCTTCAGAGGACTAGTGGAGTTCATGCCTCAATGAATTATAGTGAGTGGTCGCAATGTTATGACTGATCGGTGTGTATCATCATGAGCTGTTCAATATTCAGGTTGTTCAATTTGACGCACATTTTTCTTTTGCAGTGTGGGGACATGGACCATAGCAGCAAAATTCGAAGACTCTCCTCAACAGAACTATACCACACAATTCGAAGTGAAGGAGTATGGTAAGAGGTTTTTACCATTAAAAAAAGAAGTGTAGGGTCAACTCAAACAAACTATTCACAGAAGAATTTAGCAATCCATGTGGAGTGAGTGCTCCCAAAGTAAATTGGAAATGTACTTTGCTACATTTTAGGTATAGATCTTTGTACTGGGCACTACTTTATTACATAGTTACATAGTTAGTTTGGCTGAAAAAAAGACCATCCAGTTCAACCATAAAAAAAAAAAGTTCTAATCCTATACCCACAATTGATCCAGAGGAAGGCAAAAAAAAACCCCCAGCAAAGCATGATCCAATTTGCTCCTGCAGGGAAAAAATTCCTTCCTGATCCCCCGAGAGGCAATTGGATATTCCCTGCATCAACTTTACCTATAAATGTTATATCCAGTTATATTCTGTGTATCTAAGAAAGAATCCAGGACTTTTTTTAAGCAATCCACTGAGCTGGCCAGAACCAACTCTTGAGGGAGTCTATTCCACATTTTCACAGCTCTCACTGTGAAGAAACCTTTCCATGTTTGGAGATTACATTTCTTTTCCTCCAAATGTAAACAGTGCCCCCTTGTCCTCTGTGATGACCTCAGGGTGAATAGCTCTACACCGAGTTCACTATATGAACCACTGATGTATTTATACATGGAGATCATATCCCCCTTATGTATTATACATGGAGATCATATCCCCCCTTATGTATTATACATGGAGATCATATCCCCCCTTATGTATTATACATGGAGATCATATCCCCCCCTTATGTATATATACATGGAGATCATATCCCCCTTATGTATTATACATGGTGATCATATCCCCTCGTATGTATTATACATGGAGATCATATCCCCCCTTATGTATTATACATGGAGATCATACCCCCCTTATGTATTATACATGGAGATCATATCCCCCCCTTATGTATTATACATGGAGATCATATCACCCTTATGTATTATACATGGAGATCATATCCCCCCTTATGTATTATACATGGAGATCATATCCCCCCTTATGTATTATACATGGAAATCATATCCCCCTTTATGTATTATACATGTAGATCATATCCCCCCTATGTATTATACATGGTGATCATATCCCCCTTATGTATTATACATGGAGATCATATCCCCCTATGTATTATACTTGGAGATCATATCCCCCCTTATGCATTATATATGGTGATCATACCCCCCCCCCTTATGTATTATACATGGAGATCATATCCCCCCTTATGTATTATACATGGTGATCATATCCCCCTTATGTATTATACATGGAGATCATATCCCCCCTTATGTATTATACATGGAGATCATATCCCCCCTTATGTATTATACATGGTGATCATATCCCCCCCTTATGTATTATACATGGAGATCATATCCCCCCTTATGTATTATACATGGAGATCATATCCCCCCCTTATGTATTATACATGGTGATCATATCCCCCTTATGTATTATACATGGTGATCATATCCCCCCCTTATGTATTATACATGGAGATCATATCCCCCCTTATGTATTATACATGGAGATCATATCCCCCTTATGTGTTTATACATGGAGATCATATCCCCCCTTATGTATTATACATGGAGATCATATCCCCCTTATGTGTTATACATGGAGATCATATCCCCCCCTTATGTATTATACATGGAGATCATATCCCCCCTTATGTATTATACATGGAGATCATATCCCCCTTATGTATTATACATGGTGATCATATCCCCCCTTATGTATTATACATGGTGATCATATCCCCCTTATGTATTATACATGGAGATCATATCCCCCCTTATGTATTATACATGGAGATCATATCCCCCTTATGTATTATACATGGAGATCATATCCCCCCTTATGTATTATACATGGTGATCATATCCCCCCTTATGTGTTATACATGGTGATCATATCCCCCTTATGTATTATACATGGAGATCATATCCCCCTTATGTATTATACATGGAGATCATATCCCCCCTTATGTATTATACATGGAGATCATATCCCCCCTTATGTATTATACATGGTGATCATATCCCCCCTTATGTATTATACATGGAGATCATATCCCCCTTATGTGTTATACATGGAGATCATATCCCCCTTATGTATTATACATGGAGATCATATCCCCCCTTAAGTATTATACATGGAGATCGTATCCCACCTTATGTATTACACATGGTGATCATATCCCCCCTTATGTATTATACATGGAGATTGTATCCCCCTTATGTATTATACATGGGGATCATATTCCCCCTTATGTATTATGCATGGAGATCGTATCCCCTCTTATGTATTATACATGGAGATCATATCCCCCTTATGTATTATACATGGAGATCATATCCCCCTTAAGTATTATACATGGAGATCGTATCCCACCTTATGTATTACACATGGTGATCATATCCCCCCTTATGTATTATACATGGAGATTGTATCCC